AAGCCATTTTGGGAAAATATTGCCTTTTTATAGCTTATCTAAGTGCAGACAGCTGCCTTGCTTCTCTGAAATAGAAGAACTTAACAGCCACGTTTGCAGGGACAGATTTGAAAGGTTCCATCTTCTAAGAAACAGCCTACACATCCAGAAACAGAAGGCCAGATTTGTTTTTATACTGGAACCCCCTTCCATATGTTAGCTGTGCCCACGGATTTGCAAAAACCCTGCTCTGCAAACGAGATGTTCATTCAGCAACAGGCGACAAGAAACTTGCCTCTGCCTTGCCATAAGGCCCGTTCCCGCTAAAACCAGTGGCAAAACAGCACACGATATACTATGTTTTGCTGAAAATCGCTGGTGTTTAAACAGTATAGTGGAGGAAGGGAGTGCTAAACATTACAAAAACAGACCTAAGTTCCATAACAACATCCCGAAGCTACAGCTGATCCACACCTCGCTGTTGTTCCCTTTGGGATCAGCTCACAAAAGGTTGTTGTGATTTGTTCTGGGTGATAGAGACTGTGGCCTGCGTTCCCAGGCCAGCCCCAGCCCCATGCTAGGGTCACAGTGTGGGGACAGGGAGGACTCTGGTGAGTGGGGTCCTCCACAGGACAGCTTACAGATTCCACGTCAGCCTGGAGCAGCTCCTGCAGCCATTCTACCTCCAACAAGTTTAAGTACAGCAGGGATAATGTCATTTTCCTGCCTTTCAGCAATAGCAAGCCCTGCAAGCTTCTTCAGATCAAAACTAATTAATTCCCTTGAATTTAACACTGGACAAGCTGACACTAATGAAGCAAACAGTCCCGAAAGTAACAGGATCTTACAGTATCACCTTTTACCAGCAACAGTTGGACCATTTATCTACAGGACAATGGCTTTTATTTATTTCTATTCTTTTAAGTGAGTGAAGGGGTACCAAAGACAAGGGCCTGCTGTGAAATGACCAAAATTCCCATGCAAACAACCCATTAGCAGTGTTCAAATGCAATTTAAATTACTAGTTGTTAAAGTGCTCCTCAATTTCATGGTAAGTTTCCAAGGAAAATTACATGCTATGTACTATTTAATTGATTGTTTTCTACTTCTCAACATCCTTTTATTCCCTCCTCCTGTCTTTTCCTTAATTTCAAGAGATGATAATGACTTTTCAGGGAGGAAGGGGGAATGGCTGGCAGAGATAAGAGATTTACCTGAAGAACAAGCATGTAGGAGGGAAGGAGCTGCCAAAACAGACAGCTTCTCTGGGACACGTCCGTGTGATATTTTCACAGTAGGGGTGTGAGACAGCACAGCACAAGAACTCCTTCCCTCTCTGCTGCAGGCAGCCACACTTCCAAAACCTGAAATGTCTTTAAAATGCAGTCACCCCCCACATCAGGGAACTGGGGAGCCCTATGCACAGTTAGCCAGTAAGGAAGCAGGAGCAACTCATTTCTTCCTCCTGGGTATGCAAGTCCTTGAACTGACACGCTCACCAGAGGCAAACAGGTTTTTCTCATTTGAGAGATCTCACCCCAAATGCAAATACCTGGTGCACAGGAGTGAATTTCCCTCAAAGTTGACTGAAGAATGAGGCCAAGAGTAAGGCCTCCTGCTGCTTGCAACAGCTGTTACACAGGAATGTGCATTATAAAGCTAATAACCACAGACATTTCTTAGAAGACTGCACTCTGCTCAGATACGAAGAAGGAGCAGCAGCACAATTAGGTAAAGTGCCATCTGGAAACTCCAGAATAATGATGCATGTTGAGGTCGTGTCACATATTGCCAACATACATCACCTTTATGAAATACTCAAGATGACTTGGTTTACCTTTAAGCAACTGATGTAGAAATGCTTCTTGCCCAGAAAGGTATGGTTTTATTAGAGTAAGAGAAATGAGTTTAACATCACTATTCAGCAAACGGTTGTAAAATGCCTGCTGCAGGAGCTGAACATCAACAGCCACATGGAATCAGGAGACTTGAACTTGTCCCACACTTGCCACATGGTGCCTCAGTTTCTACAGCTGCACCCACCAGAAAAACACAGCTTCCCTCTACCTGCAGACATATTTCAGTGTTCTGAAACTTCTGCAAAGCATCAGACACGTAGAGGCATCTATGTATAACCTTGTCTCCTTGCCCACATGTGCTATTCCCATGTTACCTGGGGCAGACCTTACCTGCTGTGGGACAGGTGCACCCAGCCCTTAGTGCACACCAATGGGTCACACAGCAACAGTGTCACTACTGCCATATCATACGTGGTGCCAGCCTGGTGAGTTGTGCTGTGATAATGTGATGCAACAGCCAGGCTGAAGGATGGGCAGTGAACCAGCCCTGCTTACTTGGAAGCTAAAGCAAATCGTCTGCATTTAATGCATCATTACAAGAGGTTTAAGAAACACAGGCGTGGAGCTCTCTAAAAGTGCTTGAGTTCCATGGAAGCCATGGAAAGCTTCTCAGGCTTGAGTGTTTACAGGGTGCCAAGCTGAAGGAGAAAAAAAAATCTTTACAGAGTTGTATTAGTTTACAAGTCAGCCCTTAATGGCTCCATTCCTGAAGCAGAAGAAAATCCTTCCTGCTCATCCGCTGCAGATCCTGGTTAGCATCAGCAATCATTTGATCTGCCCAGGTCCCAAAGAAACACCAGAGGGAGAACACCGGTAGCTGTGCTTCCAGCCCTGGGCCCAGCATCCACAGGGACACTCAGCCTTCGGATCCATCCAACGGAGACGTCTCACAGGGAAGGTTGCAGACAGGAGATTACCAGCCCCAGTGCACGGCCCTGAGTTCCATCACCCACTGGGCCTTGCACCATTCATCCTGGTCTTCCAACAAGCGCAGAAAGGGAGAGACTGCGAGGGGAACAGAACAGCATCACTTCCAGTCCTGCAGTGCTGCCCCCAAACACCAAGCTGGGCTACAAGCAGCTGGCAAAGCCTGGACATGCCACAACCCAATGCTACCGACATGGGGCCGAGCTGGAAGCACTGTGCAGAGGCACACAAGGGCAAAGCGCAGTGCACATGGAGTGATGGACCTTGGCTCACCACATTGTCACACACAGCCAAGGAAGCAAGATTCCTTCAGCAGGTCTCCAGGTGAGGCCTTGCATGCTGCACAGCCCCATACACAGCCCCAGAAGCCCATTATCCAGCCCATCACTTCCTCTCTCTGCTCAGGCTGTGAATGCCTTTGGGCAGCAGTAGTTTGGCCCTCTCAGTACAAAAAGACATTGAGGTCCTGAAGCATGTCTAGAGAGGGGCAGCAGAGCTGTAAAATGTCTGGAGCACAATGGGAGGGAGATGGGATGGTTCAGTCTGCAGAAGAGGAGGCTCAGGGAAGACCTTACTGCTCTCTACAGCAACCTGACAGAAGGTTGTGGCAAGGTGGGTGGGGTCAGCCTCTTCTCCCAGGTGAAAGTGACTGAAAAAGAGGAAACTGCCTTAAGTTTTCACCAGGGGAGGTGCAAGTTTGGTATTGGGAAAAGTTTCTTCCTAGAAAGAGTGGTGATGCACTGGCACAGGCTGCCCAGGGAAGGTGGGAGAGTCACCATCCCTGGAGGTGTTTGAGAACCATGGAGATGTGGCACTGAGGGATGTGGTCAGTGGGCACGGTGAGGATGGGTTGGGCTAGGTGATCTTAGTGGGCTTCTTCAACCTTAATGATTCTGTGGTTCTGCTGGCACGAGAACGAAGCCCAGCACAGCAAATTGATCCCAAAAGATACAGTAACCCAAGTAGCTTGTTGAAACAAGGATTAAAATGCAACCGAAGTCTGCAGACTCCAAACCCATCCTGTCTGCAGGAATACACCCCAGCAATTCCTCCGCCACCTTCTGCGAAAGAATGATCTTCAGCGCACATCCTACCCTTGTGCAAATTATGCCAAGCACTTCTAGCACAGAGCAACAAATGCCCAGTTATGCATCCAAAAGGTCTGATCCACATCCCCAGGAAAACCGAACCTCTTAACAAGTATTCATCCCCACTTAAGAGGGCAAAAGAAAAACAAAGATGTAAAAAAATAAATAAATAAATAAAAAACCTAAGAGGACTAAAGCTTAAAATCAGGAGAGCATGGTAACAAGTTTGAATCAGCCTAAAAACACCAGTCAGCAAAAGAGACACAAGCACCACTAACCAGCAGAGGAACTACACGTCGTATTTCAGCAGCAGCCCTTCCCAAGCACAGGATGAGGTGCAGTAATGGTGTCTGAGGCACAGGGCTCTCTGCTAGGCAGCCCCCAGAGCTGCCACTAAAAGCTCTCTGTCCGTGTTACATGCTCCAAATGACAAGAGGAATGCAGCGGTGGATCTCCACTGCAGATTCCTGAGCATGGCTTTAGTTGCCATGAATAAAACAGGAAGCCAAGCATGCTCCACGTTCTCCTGTATCCCTGACTTTCTGGATGAGCCGCAGTTTCCTTTCAGGAAGGAGAAAGGAAAGGGGGAAAAAATAAAGAGAAGCAGACAGCTGCGGTATCAGATGGAGAAAAAACTTCTCACTAGGGAAAAATAACGGGAGAAGCCATACACTTTTCCTACATCCAGTTAAAGATACTAAATTTCTGCAGTTCTCTAACAGGAGAGTTAAATATTAACATTTGAAATAAATATATCTATGTGTTACACAGCCTTTTTAACACACACACTCGCTCAGGAGACAGAGATCTTTCTTAAGCTATATTTTACTTGCTGACCACATGCATATATAGCCATTTAACTCTACACTGCTTCGCTGCCTCACTGCGTTATCCAGAAACAAGAAGAGCATGACTGAATGGGAGCTTAAATTATCTTTATACCTAGGCCTGGAGAAACATTTTGCCTTTGAGCCCAAGCCACTAAGTTCCCTTTCCCTGCTACAGAAGGCTTCGCTGGGTCAGTTTCTGCTGACTGCTGATCCGCATGCCTGCCTCCACCAGCAGCCACGCACGCACGTTGATGCAATCCCACTAAACGAAACAAAAAACCCCAGGTCGCTCACTAAAGCAGCAATGATGCACTTACCAGCATCCAGGCAAGCTCCTGCACTAATTCGCTTCCCTCTTGCGCAGATCAAGTTTGGAACAAGGTCCAGCAGCAAAAGAGAACTGAAAAGTGACCACAAGAAGCTTCCAAAACAAGAATGAAAAGAAGAAAAAAAAAAAAAAAACCCTTTACTAAAGGAATTCAAATCCTGCTTCCACCAGACCCTGAGTCACCTCCCCTCCCTTGCAATAGATCAGAGCAATGGGTAAACATTTCCAAATATGGAGATCAAAACTCCGAAGGATGTCAAAAAAATCACCCTTCTTTGTCTGGCTTTGGCACTGGGACGACTTGCCCCTCTTGAACCTGAATTCCAAATACTGAGCACATCACCATTGCTGACCCGAGCGCAATCTGAACCTGGTGCTGCGTGTCGCTGCCGCATCCTGCCTTACGCTGCTCCTGGCTCAGTGTGTGACAATAGGTGTTTTTGTCCCCTTCCAGGGATGAATAGAAAGACACAACAGGGGCAGGTCCAGGAGGCATCATCCTTCATCTACAATTGCTATTGGAAATGTTCCTCTCATCCTTTACCTTACCAGATAACCCAATAGGCAAATTTAGTCTCTGTTTATGATCAGAAAAGACAAGACCCAGCAACCAGTCCCATCTGAGAGGGGCATCAGGCCAACCTGTCCAATAAAGCACAATCAGGACTGCACATGGCCTTGAGGTCCTGATCCTGCTGCTCAACTGGGACAGGGAAATGCTCTCTTCATCTGACTCAGTCAGTCCTTTACAAAAAGCACATAGTTGACCCTATGGAGAGGAACATGTTCTGGACAAGCAAAGATCTCCTGCATCTAAAAAGAGCTTCAGGACAACAGCATCCCTAGATCCAAAGCCATTCTTCCAGCTTGTAATCAAAAACCCCTCTGTCCCAACAAGGAGCCCCCAGGCTTCAAGAGAAAAGCCTCACTGCTGCCTGGGCAGAGATGCACAACACGGGGATGCCATGGCAGACAGAAGCAGATTAACACCGTACTTCTCCGCTCCAACAGCACTCTCAGCCTGTGCAGCAATGTGAGAAGGCAGACATTTTGCTTCCAGGGCAGAGCCCATCCTCACACAAAAGCTATTCGCTCCCACCATCAGACACAGCATGGCCCTCTCCCACCCGCCCACAGCTGCCCTGTGCCAACCTGCAGCCCAGCAGGAGGGGAATGCACCCACCAGCACAGCAAAACCTTCCCAGCCTCTCTGCCCCAGCAGCCTCCCAGTAGTTGCAGCCAGGAACACAGCACTGAGGAATGTGCAAATTGGGACGTTTGCAAGGGGAACAGGCTGCCCAGGCAGTGCTACCAGAGTGATTCCCCAGCACCACCCACAAGATACTATTGAATTTGTAGGAAAGGAATTCCAGAGCTGACTCTGCCCATGTATGGCCACAAAAAGCAGTGAAAAAAAAAAAAAAAAGTGTCATTACGGCACATCTGGCTTTCACTGATACCAAAGCACAAACTGCAGGAGAAGCCAAAATCCCGCAGTAACAGTAGCTGCACGTTTACTTCCAGCAACAGGGGTCAGGGCCCAAGACAGTGTGAGTTTAGTCCCTGACACCACCGGTGACAGGAAACATCTAAACCTGTGCACCACAAGAAAACAAAGCTTTCTCTCTTTTGAAATAAAACATTTAACTTGGTCATCTGTCACTTCCACTGCAAAAAGTAAACCTTACAAGGCAGCACAGCACACGTCCTTACAGACGGTTGTAGAGGCAGCTCTGAACAGCCAACAGCTCAGGTGACACTGAGTGCCACAGCCAGGCAATGCCAGCGCACTGCATTCCCAAAATGCAGGCTGGGACCAATGCTCTGTGGGCAGCTAATCAATCATGCTTGTTAAACCCCCTAAAACCTTTCCCCAGAGCCATGTGTCCCACGTAGCCAGCAGGAAGGATGTCCTCCATGGTCAGAAATGGAAATTTTTTGAGCACTGCAGCCACCAGGGCGAAAGATGCTCCAAAAACCATGGTGAGATGGGTTGTAAATGTGCCTGGGAAAGTTCTGCCAACTTAGACATTTACAGCCCATCATAAAAAACAATTCCTAGGAATCGTCAGTGCCAGGAGAAGCAGCAGGATGAAGCAGAAGGAAGGTAAGGAAGGGAACAAAAAAATCCATCCTGGGAATGCACCAATCCCTACTGCTCCTGGCTCCCACAGCACTATTGAAGCCAGGATCTCCTTAACAGTTAAATGCCACTACCTCGCCTGCCCTGCCAGCAGGGGAAATATCAGCTGTGTCAGCTCGAGAGGCAAAGGGCTTACCAAACCAGAGAGGAATGCAGGCAGCAATGGCACACACTGGGGACAGGGAAATGAAACCCCAGGGAAGGCTGTTAACTATTGCTGCCTTTGCACAGGGGTCAGGCGAGGTACGCTTTATGGCTCCTGGGGCTGAAGCCTTGTTGTGTGACCTTAGCAGGACTCCCATGCCAGAAATGAATATCGCTGTTAGAGGGGCTGGGGGCACGGAGACCGAGAACACGAGGACAAGGCAGCTCCTGGCTCCTGGCAGGCAGCCCAGTGCAGCCCTTCTGTGCCCAGAGCTTGGGAGAAAGTGCTGCAGCCCCAAGGGGACATTGCCAAGGATGGGGCACAACAACAACCCAGCATCCAGGATTAAGGATGTGTGTTCCCTCCAGTGGCGTCTGCTGATTGCAGACCCTCTGTGTGGCATTAGGATGTCTCTTCGGGTTCCAATTGAAATGGCATTATGACTCGTCTTGCTCTTATGCTTAAACATTGGTACCTAAGCATAAGCTGAGTCAGTGGCTTTGTTTAAGAGCACCTTTCACTCCAAATGACAGAGTGATTTGTCATTTGGACACATCTGTGTGCCACTACAGCTGAATCAGTGAGCTCTCAGCTGCACCACCAGTCCCTCTCTGCCATACTCCCAACCCTCCAGGGTAAAAATAAAAGCACAGGGGTCTGGGAATAAAATCTAATCCAAGGGCTTCTGCACAGCAGCACAGCTCGTTATCACTTGGACAATGGGTCAGGTGTGACCAATTTCCTTAAAATAGTATTACAAAAGCAGGATTCCCAGAATATTTGATTCATAAAAATGCCTCGAAGAGGCTGAAAGCACAACTTGCACAACAGACGTAGCACGGGGACTGCTGCAGCATCACAGAGATACATACACCTACATCCCCTCCCACAACAAGCACAAAAGCAGGCTTAGGACTTGCAAGCTGAAGTCCTGCACAGCCAAAAGTTAACACAAACGTTTGGGACAGTTCCACTTTGCAGGCAAAGACGAAAAACCAGGTGCAAGGGAATAAATATAGAAAGTAAAGCAGGCAAAGCAGGTGCTGGCTTGTAAAACCTTGGCCAGAAAGGCTCCCCAGGAGGTTGAATCTGGTAGCTTTGCAACAGCTTCACAGAGACACAGAAGAGACAGAAAAAGAAAAAAAGAGAATGTGAATGCATATGCATTCCTTATTGCCATATATAGTATATACAGACATTTGGTATATACCCCCTCAAGCTCTCACGTGCCAGCACACAGCATGTACAATATATGTGCTGCACATCCTTGGTTCCATGTGCCCAGATCTGTACTGCACCCATGTATGTATATACATGTCTACGTGCATTTCTTATGCATGCATTTGTCAGCACACCCAACCACCACCCATGAACGTGTGCTGCCACACAACACACCACGCAGCACAGTGTATCTGCAGCCTCAACGCTCACAGCTTCTTGCTGGTGCTGAGCCCTTTCTCTCACAGCTCCCACTGAGCAAACAGCACAAGGAAATCACCGTTCTACCCCATTTTCTAGTGATCCCAACTCCTCCACACTCGGTTAAAAGACTTTTCTCCCCTAAGAGTCACAAACAATATGCTACTGTCATAAAAAGCCACAGATCCTTCTGAGAAGTCACCCCATACGTCTGTGACACGTGGGTACATACCGGCTCCCGCGCTGCACAGCCTTGCTGGTGGGATGAACTCAGAGCGGGGCTTCTGGAGGCACGCAGGGTGCTGCCAGAGTCACGACTTTGGGTTTCTTTCACAGCCCTGTGAAGAGAGAGAGAGAGAGAGAGTTACCATGTGATGCGTGCCGGGTGGGCTTCCGACGGCTCTTCTCTAAAACTTGCAACTTAACCCACACAACTTCTGGGAAACGGAGCATTTTCCTTCCCCAGCTTTTTCAGACTGAAGCCTCCGTACTTCTGGACCGCTTTACAGCAGCCACCATCTATGCCCCATGAAACCAAACATCACCACCTCTAATCACCGAGCTCTAAGGTGCCACACAAGGAACGTAACAAGATGTGACAATTTGTAAAGGTAGGGATGCAAGGCATAAAATGAAGCACAAAATGCGAGGAACAGCTTAAATCTGTCCTTTGAGCCAACAGAGGAGGTAGGAGGTATTATTCCTGTTTCAAAGCTCATAGGATTTGCTGTTACTCTAACCGAGTTGCTGCTGTGTTTCCCTGTGCAGCAGATGCTGGTAGAGCAGAGAGGCCAAGCCACACAAGTGGCACCCTGCATGCATGACCCCAGGACATGCTGCTGAGTGGATTCACAGAGACAGGCAGCATCTGAACCGCACACTCCTTCCTGCCCCTGCTCAGCATCTCATTCCAGCCACAACCCCAGCACTCTGACATCCCCATCCCTGCTGATGACAAGTGCAGGATCACTTCATTATTACATCTCAACACACAAAAAACTACTGCTTTTTGCTGCCATAATGATGGAAATGCTCAGTTCAGGCTCGTGCTTGCTTTACCTGAATCGCTCCTAAGGATGTATGAGCCCACAAGTCTACCAACAACATACAGCAGAACACAATAGGTGGCTCACAATCCAGGTCTGCGAGCAGTGATACATCTCCATCATACCAATACCACAAGAGCACACTGATGTCCAACCTGACCCCTGGCACCTCCCCAGCTCACCCCCACGGACCCTGTGTTGGCAGCCAGCCTACAGGGCCCACGTGTGGGTAGGGCAGGTACAGAAGTCCCTGAGAGCCTCAGCACTGCCTTCTGGTGCAGTGAGGACAAATGGGGCCAGAGATAGCAGTGGCCTCTCCCACTCACCACAGGGTTCAGAAATTTAAGATGAGTTACTGCACAGTTTTATTGCTGCTGAATTCAGCCATGGAGCAATTTCTCTTCATCCGTCATGGAAGAGACAAGTATAAGCAAATATTATGGTTGTGCAAGTTTACTTTTCATTTTAAAATGATGTAGAGTTATATACAATTTAGGTCCTTCCCACAGGCTCCTGGCAATATGCCCTTCGGTCTTATCTGCAAAGGCAGAAGACAACAACATTCCCCTCTGGTTCCAACACTGTTTCAATTCAATCCACAACAGCACCTCTGGGAGCTCCAGGTAAAACAATATTCTTGGGATCCAACCTGTGTTTAGAAGACCTTGGCTCAGATTTGTCTTCCAGCCAGTTTAACTCAAGAAATATTTATCAGATCAGTTACAGGATGCCAGCAGGCTCAGCTCACTGACCCACACCCTCTTCTCCCTGCTGTGGCTGTCCCCATCAGTTATCCCACTGCACGACCACAGGCTTGCAGCAAACCCACTCCTGCCTGCCTCAGCTCACCTGAGCTCAAGGCTGCCCATATCCCAGAGCTGATGTGGGGCCACAGGGCAGCACCCTGTCCCAAAGAAGCACCTGCCCCTCTGTCTGACATGGCTCCTCAGCCATGCCCATCCCCACCCTCGCTCAGGAGAAGAGCACAACGCACAGACATATCGTGATCACCGTCAACACAAGTCTTTGCTCCGCTGCAGTGCCCAGGGAAATACTTCTGAAGACCAACCCTAGGAGACACCTCTGGGTTTCCCACTTCTCCCAGCAACCTCTGTGGGAAATGTTCAGCTGCTTTTGCAGCAGAAATACCACTAACAGACAACTTTTTGCTTTACACAACTCCAGCCCCTTCTCTAGCTTACCACAATGGATGCTCAGCGGTCAGCACGTGTCTAATTCTGATTATGATCCTGCACCAAAGATTCCAGAATGCAATTACAACACTGCAAGAGGTAACAGGAGAAAGTCCCTCCGGTAACACAGCTCAGCAGAACACAGTTCCCATCTGGCAGAACCCAACACAGCAGTGTGCTCATGCCTTCAGAGTAGCAGCTGCAGGGACAGACTTCCCAGTCCAGACACATGGATGTGCACACACGTGAAACTCTATTTTTATGTGTAGTGCAGTACAGACCACTTATTTTAATGCACCCTCGAGCATTTCAACTGGCAGTTTGTCATTCAAAAGCATTTTAAAGCAAAGCCAAACAGCAGGAATCAGTCGGCACAGTCAAAGCACTGAGCAGCCCCTGAACAAAGTACCGTAACAGGGACTTATTAAAAGAAGTATTTCCTTCTTTTCCCCCCGAAGCTAGGTAAATTTAAGGTACAGTTCACAGAAAAACCGCTCAGAAGTTCTAAAGCCATCCCAACTGAAAGATACAAAGCTGAAAGTGATCTAAGTGCAAAATCCTGAGATGCGATGACCAGCAGCAGCCCATGCACTACTGCTGACACCACTGCTGTGCCACTGATAGCACAGATCACAACACCTCACAATAACACCTTCATTTAAAGCACAAGAACAATACATAAAGCAAGGCTTCCTGTTTACTGATCTACCTTTAAATCTGGTTACGCTTCAAAGTCTTACAAGTACCCAGAGTTCAATTCCTACTATTGTTTCCTTAAATCAATACTGCTACACTTGCAGAAGCTGCAGCCTGATCACCAATACAGCTGGGATAAAGCAGCCTCACATTGGGAAGCTCAGTATCAGCCTGAGCACTGCGAGGAAAATTGGAGTTGTAACTGCTCTGGTTGCCAGTTTTCAAGCACTGACAAGTTCAGAGAGTCAGCCACCAGCACGGCCTGACAGGGGTCTGCTCCTGTAGGGCTGGCAGGTACACGTACAGGTCCCCACATGACAGCCCCACTCAATCTGACCTTTTCATTTTAAATGAAAAACACTTAAAAGCCTGTACTGCTTTGACATATGCATTTTTATGTCTTTCCCACACAGTTCTAATATTTGTTGTTTACTGGCCAAAGTCCCCAGCTCAGAAATCTCAAGTTATTTCCTCTGCTCCAGCAGTTCACTGGCAAAGCTACCTAAGCTCCCCATGCACTGCACAGTTAGGACAACAAGATGAAAATCTCAGCTTGGAGTCTTACACTGACTTAAAACTCAGGTTATATGCACAGGAAGCTCTGCACCTGAACACCTGCCCTGAGACACAGACCCATCTTGTTAACACAGGACACTGATGCCTGCAGGATCCCTATCAGCTTTCTGTGTTTACTTGTTCCTGTGCTTCTCAGGTTTCATTTATTAAACTGCTCGATTCAAAAGAACATTGCTGAAGCTATCTAACACAAAGATCATGCAAGATAACTAAAGCTGGAGACATTTCCTTTTTGCTGCTCTTCAGCACTGCCAGCAGCAGCACCTGCTCAGAAATTCATCAATACACACACCAACAAACCAATGGGCCCAGCTGCTGCTTTTACTCGGAGGCCAGATCCTGTGACGGTGTAAAGCAACAAGCATGCCATGCAAATCTTTAGTTTTGATCTACAAGGAAGCACATGTCCTTTTTTTTTTTTATTTTATTGTCCTCAGCCATGAGCTGTCTGCAAATCTGCCACCACCACACGCGTCAAAATAAGCAATCATGGGACTTATCACTTCCAAACCCCTGGTTCTGGTTGCAGCAGGAACTGCCAGCATCAGCTGTGATGGGAGGAGTTAGCAGCAACTGAACAGCAAACCTTCAGGCTGCAGGGCAGGAGAGACTATTCTAGCATGCTCCTTCTGACACAGTGGGGCTGGATCCAGCTTCCTCAGATAGACTACAGTATTAAAACACATGGGAAGTTACTCAGGCATGACGCATTTAGGCAGTAGACAAGGAAGCTGCATGCAGCTGTCCCTGCAGCACCCCAATGGCTCCCAGTTGGGGCACTTGGGCAACAGCGTAGGGATGGCAATTGTAATGCTATAATGGGATGATAATGGCAGGGTGGCAAAGCCTTTGGCTTTCAGCAGTTCACCCGTGCTGCCAGCTGTGATTTATGGGTCTGTAACACACACCAGGACTGGACCCCATATTTTCAAGCACAGGCTGTTGGCCTCATCCCGTTTGCATTCCTGGAAGTGGAAGATTTTCAGAACAGCCTCATTGATTCCCCCCTGCACACACCATTTGCTGCCTGCATTTTGCTAAGCCTCGTCAGGGAGACTTCGAGCAAAAGGGGGGCAGTTCACTTTCTCACTTGAATGCACCCCAGCTTCTTGATCAAAGAA